CGTTGCCTTGGTGGGGAAAATACGTCAATGACATCGATCAGTGATGTGGGACACTTACTTTTAACGGACAGGAGGTCACGTATGTCGTCTTTTTAGAACCTCTTACCCAGTGCTTTTTGCAGGAGTTGATAGATAGGTTCATGAAGAGATTTTCAAAAGACGTAAATACTATCGAAACATAAACACCCCGACCGAAGGAGAAGGCTGTTTATCAGCGTCGTCTAACGGCAATCTGAAGTGAAAGAGGAATACAGAGACAAACAAACAGTCGCTTCGAAGTTACGACTAACAACGAGCGACGACCGGGGGGGGGGGGGGGGGGGGGGGGGGGGGTGGATCGAAAACATTCTACTTTATGAGTACTATCAGTGGATGTTTCATGATCAAACTGAATCACAACTCCCCGTTGGCGATGCATCGTTTGGGGCACAACTTCACGGTACCTGGTATTAAGCTGAACAAACGATTACATACAGTTAAAACCCAAAACCATTGGTCCATACCTATCAGTAGAAGCACCCAAGCTGGGTATCGTCATGATCTCTCTGTTTAAACACTTTTTTGGTCCACCGAAAGGTGTGTAATCCTTCTCACTTGTACCTCTCTTTTTTGGGATTCGAACCTTGTCACCCACGTGGAACCGAGCCGTGTAAATTAGTTGTCGATGCTCAACATAAGGATACAACAACTCACAATGTGAGTGACAAGAACATGCATAGTTAACTGGACACTATCAATAATCCAACAATGAGAAAGAGGATGGAACGCGGAATCGTTTGACCCCTCATCTTCACAAACTGGGCGTTCCAATAGAAAAGTTCGTTGGACGGATGAATAGCTTAAGATTTACACAAAACAGTTCGACGAAAATTCGAGAAACGATGCGTGATCGTTGTGGGTGTAGGTGAAACTTGGACTACTGATCTCTCTCAAAAGAACAAAGAATTCACGTTAATTCTTAGCATCATCAATGTTTTCTCCAAATACGGCTGCTTATTTCCGTCCAAGACCAAGAAAGGTGAACCGACCAAGGTTGCTTTTTAAACGGGTTTTTAGACACGCATTCCCATGAAACTATGGACGGCCAATATTACCGAATTCTACAAAGAGGTCAAGGTAACTCCACCAAACAGAGACCAATCTCCTGTGGCCGGAATATGAAAATAAGGTGTACTGGAACTTGTATGCCGACATGCCTCCCATACAGCAGGGTCGGTTCCGCTTGTTTACCAATTCCCAAGATTTCAACGATGATGAGATACAAGGTTCTCGAACTTCAGAAGACCTCGTACCGCATCGATAAGGTATTGCGAAGGCGAAACCGGAGTGTTGTAAATGATCTCTTTGTGAAATAGAGAGGTAATCTGAGTCATTTAATTCTTGGATCAAATAATTAGACATTGAGTCACAACCTCTCTGGAACCTCTACATTCTTGACGATTCGCAAAGACTGTAAAAGTTATGAGAATATGAAGGTTACTGTTTACCAATGGGCGTAATGGTCTGATCATGATGCAACGCATTTACCTTACTTTTCGGGCTTTGATATCTACTCAAGTTAATTTTAACACATCTTTGGTTGAGATTGCTCGCATTAGTATGTTTTGATTGAACAAAGACACTTAGAATGTCCATGTTTTTCTCGATGGCCTACTATTTCTCATGCACGTTCTCCGTCAATCTATCGAATTTGTCTTTCTTGTTCTTCCGATTTCTTTGCATACCAATCATTCGTCACCAGGTCCTCTGCCATCTAATTTTCGGTAAATTCACGAATCAAATGGTTCTGCATATTTAAGTTTGTGTTAGTGTTCCTCCGTTGGTAGAAACGCATTTACACTTGCCCACTTTGTCCATTATTTTTTTCTCATGTGATTTCTGCATCATATTCTATCTTCATCCGTTCTATATCCGTTTAAATCTGGTTGCACTAGGTTTCATACGTGCTGTATTCTTCTTTTTGAATGACCAACCGTTTCATTACAGCATCCGAATTAGCCCTTGGAGCTTTCAGAATGATGATACGGTTGTCGTTTTTGTTCAAGTCTTCGAAGAAACTACCAAAGATCATCCCTCCCTATCGGATATCCCTAGAATCCAAATTAGTTTACCATGTTTTATCTATTTATAGCAGCAACGAGAACACCACTTCATCAAACAATTGACCTTCCGACTAATTTCAGCAAAGGTGTCAACTGACCACCATTCCTCTTATCTGTATTTTATCTGTGTTGTATTGTATCGAGCGTCGTAGATACTCAATCATCTCCCTTAAGAAGGTTTAAATATAAAGATAAGCAGATGTGGTATGAATGCCAATGAGAAAACTCTCCACAATAGACCAAATGACACAGACATTAACAACTATAGGCCACCGTACGGTCTCACGTCCATAAGAATAAAGTAGATCTTTGTCGGGTTGTCCTTAAACCAACACGTCCAATATGTCTCCAGATCCGTTCGTGGTTCGTTGGGTAAGTCGAATACTTCAAATCGGTCACTCGTCGAGCGAGTTCCAATGTTGACGAGGGTGTGTCAGGGGGGGGGGGGATATTATGCACCTGTATATAATTATCTATTTATTTAAATTTGACAATGCCCGTGGACGAGTGTACTTGTACCGTCTTTAAGGATGTGGCCCTTGGATTGTCATCATCGGCTTACATGGCTTTCTTGCGACATTCGAATGGATAATCACTTAATAGGCCGTGTCTTGTCATGGTCTACAAATGTCTTTCTTACAAAACTTTCCATGATCTATCATATGATGCTGGTAAAGTTAACTGGTCTGTACGTAGTTTTACGATAGCTTTTTATCTCCCTTTTTCAACAACGCATTAATCTTGACCAATTTTCTAACCTTCTGGTACAAAACCTGATGAAAATAAACTGTTGAAAGTTACAAAGTAGAATGTCAATTAAGTCTGTAAGTGTATATAGCACTTAAGGGTGTACCTGGTCAGCACCTGGTGAGTTTTCTTAACGTATTCAAGTTTTTCAATAATTTGTCATTTCTTCTTGTTTAAAAATTTCGTTGCTAGAAGGTTCTTCGCACTAAAGTTCTTTCATAATTTTCTTTTCGAAATACCCTTGAAAAAAATCAGCCAGTATTCAGCCTTCTCTGAATCAGTACTTACACGTTTTACGATGCACCTGTTTCTCTACAAGACCTATATAGCCATACCCCGTGACACCCCTCAATATTTTTCTCTAGACGACATGGAATGGGCCAACCCCCACTTTATTTTAAAAATTTTCTAATTTCGACCACTAGTTTCAGATTTTTTAACATAGCGCCACTCGAAACCTTGCGCAAACGATGCGCCTGTTTCTCCTCCTCTACAGGACCTATATAGCCAAGAAATCAAGGGTAAGCAAATTTTAACTCAAAATGGTCTATAAATTATTTTTTCTATCACCAAAAGTTTCATTTCTGCAAATTTGTTTGTTCAATTAAACAAAGGTATCAAAGGTGCTATTTTTTCAGGGTAGGACTACTAATAGATGCGGATTTACTGTGGTACTGAATATTACCATGAAAAGGGGTGTGGCTTGTTTTATAAATAGATATGGTAAATCCCATTTCATGAGAATTGTAAATAGTAATTTGTGGACGGAATTTCTGCCTTTTTAAATATTTTTTTCAAACGGCCGTTGCTTTCTTTTTCAATTTTTCGGTTTTTAGATATATCGCCTTATTGTTCGCTAGTTATTGTTCGCTCGCTTCAGCCTGGTCCATAAACCATAACAATCGCAAATTCTTAACTCCTGAAAAAGACTGAGAAAACTAAATTAACGACAAACAATGACGCCAAACACATGGTTCAGACAAGAAAACACATCGTTCAGACAGCTAAACATATGGTCATACAAAAACACATGGTCCAGACATTAAAACACATGGTTCAGACAAGAAAACCCATGGTCCAGACAGACCGATTAGAACAAGCATAAAACACATGGTCCAGACAACAAACACATGGTTTAGACAACGAAACACATGGTTCAGACAGCAAAATACATGGTAAAAAAAAAAAAAAACCCATAGCCCGCACAGATCGATTCGTCGAACAGGAACAAAACACATGGTCTAAACAGACTGATTTAAATTGTCAAAAGACACATGGTCCAGACAGACTGATTTGAACAGGCACAACATACATGGTCCAGACGGACCGATTTTTACAGGCACAACACAAATAGTCCAGACAGACCGAATCGAACAGCCACAAAAAGCATGAAACATGAAAACCACCTCCGGGTGCGAGATTTTCTCGCTGTGTTGAAGACAAATTGATGGCCTTCGGCTGCTTTCTGCTCTTAGGTCGGGTTGTTGTCTCTTTGACAATTTTTACAGGCACAAAACAAATAGTCCAGGTAGACAGACAGACTAGAACAGACACAACAAATATGATCCAGACAGACCGATTCAAACTGCTAAAAATCATATGGTTTAGACAGGCTGATTCGAACAGGCACATAACATATGGTCCAGAAAGACATAATCGAAGAGGCACAAAAACACAAGGTCCAGACAGACTAATTGAAACAGACACAAATCAACATGGCCCAGACAGACTGATTTGAAAAGGAACAAAATAAATGATCCAGAAGAAAGACCGAATCAAAGAGGCAAAAAACACATGGTCCAGACGGACCGATTTGAACAGGCACAAAACACATGGTCCAGACAGACCGATTCGAACTGTCGTTAAACACGTGGTCAAGACAGACCGCTTCGAATAGGCACACACAACAACCGGTCACACAACATGGTCTAGACAGACTGATTCGAGCAGCCACAAAACACATGGGCCAGACAGACCGATTCGAACAGGCCCAAATCTATATTCTTTTATCAAAAGAACACCATATCATCGTGCAAAAAAAACCCAAAAAACGTTAAAATCACGAATAATTAATATTGATCTTTGGAGCCTACTCAAATTAATCAGAAAAATAGATTATGTTTTTATTCAATACTAGTTTCGTTGTTGTAGGTGAATATGCAAGAATACAAAATTCAGTGCCATATTACTGGGAGGTAATATGTGATTATCAACCTACTGGAGTATGCCATTATGGTTATATAGACCGTAGTACCCAAATCGGCCGTTGGAAGTTCCGGGAGGACGCCCAAAAGACACAGCCACCACCGCCTGGTATGTTTCTGTATTTTTGTTTAATTTGTTTTCATGATATCAAGTAAGGTGATTTTAAGACCTTCAGTAGTAGTTTCCCTGATGTCAAACAAGGTCTTTGCTGATTTTAATGAATGAGTCAGAAATATGGCAGTTGTTATCAAATAGTCCGTATCTATGTATGTTGGCATTTGTTTTGGTAGCAATTCAGTGTTTCTGTTGTTCCGTTGTTTTCCTCTTATAGTTGATGTGTTTCCCTCGGTTTTAGTTTGTAACCACGATTTGTTTTCTCTCTATCTATTTACTACCATTGAATAGCGGTATACGTCTGCTACGGTTGCCTTTGATATTTCATTAATAGTTTCCATGATGTCAACTAAGGTCAATGCTTACTGAAGGATGAGTGAAATGGTTCAGTTTAGTTTACGTGAAGTCAACCAAGGTAAATGCTGACTGACGGATGAGTGAAAAGGTTCAGTTATAGTTTCCATGATGTCAACCAAGGTCAATGCTGACTGACGGATGAGTGTAATATTTCAGTAATAGTTTCCGTGTTATCAACCAAGGTCAATGCTGACTGACGGATGAGTATAATGGTACAGTTACAGTTTCCGTGATAAAAAAAATGGTAAAAGATGGCTGACGGATGAGTGTAATGATTCAGTTATAGTTTCCGTGATTTCAACCAAGGTCAATGCTGACTGACGGATGAGTGTAATGTTTCAGTTATAGTTTCCGTGATTTTAACCAAGGTCAATGCTGACTGACGGATGAGTGTAATGTTTCAGTTATAGTTTCCGTGAAGTCAACCAAGGTCAATGCTGACTGACGGATGAGTGTAATGTTTCAGTTATAGTTTCCGTGAAGTCAACCAAGGTCAATGCTGACTGCCGGATGAGTGTAATGTTTCAGTTATAGTTTCCGTGATTTTAACCAAGGTCAATGCTGACTGACGGATGAGTGTAATGTTTCAGTTATAGTTTCCGTGATTTCAACCAAGGTCAATGCTGACTGACGGATGAGTGTAATGTTTCAGTTATAGTTTCCGTGAAGTCAACCAAGGTAAATGCTGACTGACGGATGAGTGTATTGTTTCAGTTATAGTTTCCGTGATTTCAACCAAGGTAAATGCTGACTGACGGATGAGTGTAATGTTTCAGTTATAGTTTCCGTGATTTCAACCAAGGTCAATGCTGACTGACGGATGAGTGTAATGTTTCAGTTATAGTTTCCGTGATTTCAACCAAGGTCAATGCTGACTGACGGATGAGTGTAATGTTTCAGTTATAGTTTCCGTGATTTCAACCAAGGTCAATTCTGACTGACGGATGAGTGTAATGTTTCAGTTATAGTTTCCGTGATGTCAATCCAGGTCAATTCTAACTGATGGATAATTGTAATGTTTCAGTTATAGTTTCCGTGAAGTCAACCAAGGTCAATGCTGACTGGCGGATGAATGAAATGGTTCAGTTAGAGTTTCCGTGATTTAAAACAAGATATGTGCCGACTGACGGATGAGTGTAATGTTTTTACAGTATCCGTGATTTCAAACAAGTTCAATTCTGACTGATGGATAAGTGTAATGTTTCAGTTATAGTTTTGCGTGAAGTCAACCAAGGTCAAGGCTGACTGATAAATTGGTGAAATGGTTAAGTTATAGTTTCCATGATGTTAAACAAGGCCAATGCTGACTGACGGATGAGTGTAATGTTTCAGTCAGTAAAAGTTTACATGGTGTCAACCAAGGTCTTTGCCGTCTTTGACTCAGAAGTGTAATGTTTCAGTGATAGTGTCCATGCTGTGTTCCAACCAAGGTCTTTGCCGACTTTGACACATAAGTGTAATGTTTCAGTTATAGTTTCCGTGATTTCAACCAAGGTCAATGCTGACTGACGGATGAGTGTAATGTTTCAGTTATAGTTTCCGTGATTTTAACCAAGGTCAATGCTGACTGACGGATGAGTGTAATGTTTCAGTTATAGTTTCCGTGAAGTCAACCAAGGTCAATGCTGACTGACGGATGAGTGTAATGTTTCAGTTATAGTTTCCGTGAAGTCAACCAAGGTCAATGCTGACTGCCGGATGAGTGTAATGTTTCAGTTATAGTTTCCGTGATTTTAACCAAGGTCAATGCTGACTGACGGATGAGTGTAATGTTTCAGTTATAGTTTCCATGATTTCAACCAAGGTCAATGCTGACTGACGGATGAGTGTAATGTTTCAGTTATAGTTTCCGTGAAGTCAACCAAGGTAAATGCTGACTGACGGATGAGTGTATTGTTTCAGTTATAGTTTCCGTGATTTCAACCAAGGTAAATGCTGACTGACGGATGAGTGTAATGTTTCAGTTATAGTTTCCGTGATTTCAACCAAGGTCAATGCTGACTGACGGATGAGTGTAATGTTTCAGTTATAGTTTCCGTGATTTCAACCAAGGTCAATGCTGACTGACGGATGAGTGTAATGTTTCAGTTATAGTTTCCGTGATGTCAACCAAGGTCAATTCTAACTGATGGATAATTGTAATGTTTCAGTTATAGTTTCCGTGAAGTCAACCAAGGTCAATGCTGACTGGCGGATGAATGAAATGGTTCAGTTAGAGTTTCCGTGATTTAAAACAAGATATGTGCCGACTGACGGATGAGTGTAATGTTTTTACAGTATCCGTGATTTCAAACAAGTTCAATTCTGACTGATGGATAAGTGTAATGTTTCAGTTATAGTTTCCGTGATTTTAACCAAGGTCAATGCTGACTGACGGATGAGTGTAATGTTTCAGTTATAGTTTCCGTGATTTCAACCAAGGTCAATGCTGACTGACGGATGAGTGTAATGTTTCAGTTATAGTTTCCGTGATTTTAACCAAGGTCAATGCTGACTGACGGATGAGTGTAATGTTTCAGTTATAGTTTCCGTGATTTCAACCAAGGTCAATGCTGACTGACGGATGAGTGTAATGTTTCAGTTATAGTTTCCGTGAAGTCAACCAAGGTCAATGCTGACTGCCGGATGAGTGTAATGTTTCAGTTATAGTTTCCGTGATTTTAACCAAGGTCAATGCTGACTGACGGATGAGTGTAATGTTTCAGTTATAGTTTCCGTGATTTCAACCAAGGTCAATGCTGACTGACGGATGAGTGTAATGTTTCAGTTATAGTTTCCGTGAAGTCAACCAAGGTAAATGCTGACTGACGGATGAGTGTATTGTTTCAGTTATAGTTTCCGTGATTTCAACCAAGGTAAATGCTGACTGACGGATGAGTGTAATGTTTCAGTTATAGTTTCCGTGATTTCAACCAAGGTCAATGCTGACTGACGGATGAGTGTAATGTTTCAGTTATAGTTTCCGTGATTTCAACCAAGGTCAATGCTGACTGACGGATGAGTGTAATGTTTCAGTTATAGTTTCCGTGATTTCAACCAAGGTCAATTCTGACTGACGGATGAGTGTAATGTTTCAGTTATAGTTTCCGTGATGTCAATCCAGGTCAATTCTAACTGATGGATAATTGTAATGTTTCAGTTATAGTTTCCGTGAAGTCAACCAAGGTCAATGCTGACTGGCGGATGAATGAAATGGTTCAGTTAGAGTTTCCGTGATTTAAAACAAGATATGTGCCGACTGACGGATGAGTGTAATGTTTTTACAGTATCCGTGATTTCAAACAAGTTCAATTCTGACTGATGGATAAGTGTAATGTTTCAGTTATAGTTTTGCGTGAAGTCAACCAAGGTCAAGGCTGACTGATAAATTGGTGAAATGGTTAAGTTATAGTTTCCATGATGTTAAACAAGGTCAATGCTGACTGACGGATGAGTGTAATGTTTCAGTCAGTAAAAGTTTACATGGTGTCAACCAAGGTCTTTGCCGTCTTTGACTCAGAAGTGTAATGTTTCAGTGATAGTGTCCATGCTGTGTTCCAACCAAGGTCTTTGCCGACTTTGACACATAAGTGTAATGTTTCAGTTATAGTTTCCGTGATTTCAACCAAGGTCAATGCTGACTGACGGATGAGTGTAATGTTTCAGTTATAGTTTCCGTGATTTTAACCAAGGTCAATGCTGACTGACGGATGAGTGTAATGTTTCAGTTATAGTTTCCGTGAAGTCAACCAAGGTCAATGCTGACTGACGGATGAGTGTAATGTTTCAGTTATAGTTTCCGTGAAGTCAACCAAGGTCAATGCTGACTGCCGGATGAGTGTAATGTTTCAGTTATAGTTTCCGTGATTTTAACCAAGGTCAATGCTGACTGACGGATGAGTGTAATGTTTCAGTTATAGTTTCCATGATTCTAACCAAGGTCAATGCTGACTGACGGATGAGTGTAATGTTTCAGTTATAGTTTCCGTGAAGTCAACCAAGGTAAATGCTGACTGACGGATGAGTGTATTGTTTCAGTTATAGTTTCCGTGATTTCAACCAAGGTAAATGCTGACTGACGGATGAGTGTAATGTTTCAGTTATAGTTTCCGTGATTTCAACCAAGGTCAATGCTGACTGACGGATGAGTGTAATGTTTCAGTTATAGTTTCCGTGATTTCAACCAAGGTCAATTCTGACTGACGGATGAGTGTAATGTTTCAGTTATAGTTTCCGTGATGTCAACCAAGGTCAATTCTAACTGATGGATAATTGTAATGTTTCAGTTATAGTTTCCGTGAAGTCAACCAAGGTCAATGCTGACTGGCGGATGAATGAAATGGTTCAGTTAGAGTTTCCGTGATTTAAAACAAGATATGTGCCGACTGACGGATGAGTGTAATGTTTTTACAGTATCCGTGATTTCAAACAAGTTCAATTCTGACTGATGGATAAGTGTAATGTTTCAGTTATAATTTTGCGTGAAGTCAACCAAGGTCAAGGCTGACTGATAAATTGGTGAAATGGTTAAGTTATAGTTTCCATGATGTTAAACAAGGTCAATGCTGACTGACGGATGAGTGTAATGTTTCAGTCAGTAAAAGTTTACATGGTGTCAACCAAGGTCTTTGCCGTCTTTGACTCATAAGTGTAATGTTTCAGTGATAGTGTCCATGCTGTGTTCCAACCAAGGTCTTTGCCGACTTTGACACATAAGTGTAATGTTTCAGTTATAGTTTCCATGCTGTGTTCCAACCTAGGTCTTTGCCGACTTTGACACATAAGTGTAATGTTTCAGTGATAGTTTCCATGCTGTGTTCCAACCAAGGTCTTTGCCGTCTTTGACTCATAAGTGTAATGTTTCAGTGATAGTTTCCATGCTGTGTTCCAACCAAGGTCTTTGCCGACTTTGACTCATAAGTGTAATGTTTCAGTGATAGTTTCCATGCTGTGTTCCAACCAAGGTCTTTGCCGTCTTTGACTCATAAGTGTAATGTTTCAGTGATAGTTTCCATGCTGTGTTCCAACCAAGGTCTTTGCCGTCTTTGACTCATAAGTGTAATGTTTCAGTGATAGTTTCCATGCTGTGTTCCAACCAAGGTCTTTGCCGACTTTGACTCATAAGTGTAATGTTTCAGTGATAGTTTCCATGCTGTGTTCCAACCAAGGTCTTTGCCGACTTTGACACATAAGTGTAATGTTTCAGTTATAGTTTCCTTGATTTAACACAAGTTCTTTACTTTTCGCTGGATTTAGCTTTTAATGGGGGAAAGGACGTCACAATAAGGTTTTTTTGGTGGATGTATCTTCGAGGGGAGAAAGGGTACCGGGATTATAAGTATTGTTTTTTTTTTCATTTTAAAGCTTGATTGAAAAGATAGGTAAGATGGTTTACTTTTGCAAATTGTGACTTGGATGGAGGGTTGTCTCATTGGCACTCATACCACATCTTCTTATATCTACGTACGTGTCAATTGATTTTTACGTCGTTGTAGTGCTGCCTCATTGGCATATACACAAAAAAAAACACATCTCATTTCATTGATAAATATCCAAAAATATTTGCACAAAAAACAAATCTGGTGTCATTTATAAATCATAAAAAAAAACACACAAAGAGAATCAGTTATGATAGTCTAGATACCCCATAGCTCATATGACATCTAACTAAATAGCTTATGATCCAGCATATACAAAAAAAAAACTGTCTTCCTATCTAGTATACTACCTGGTTTGATTTAAGCAGTTAACGTAATGCCAAACAACTAATTAAAACAATACAAATTACATATCTTTGAAAAGATTCTCAGCATGAAATTTTAGAAAATTATAGTTAAAATGCTGACTTTGCGGGTATCGCTTTGCTCATTTTGAAGGCCGTGCGGTGACATATATATATATGTTGTTAATTTCTGTGTCAAATTGGTCTCTTGTGGAGAGTTGTCTCATTGGCAATCATATCACATCATTTTTTTTTACATAGCTATTGAGAAAGCAATTTAAGATATAATGTATAACATATAATTGATAGGGCCAGAGGATCTAAAAATACCAGCACCAGTACCAGTATCAAAATTTGACAGAAATCGTGAGTATATTAGCGTTATTGCATACTTCATTTCAAACAAACAAAAATCCAAAAAAAATTTAGAAAAAAATTTGCCAGTTGAATTAAAATTTCTTTAGCAAACACTAGATTAAAATACTAAGGACGATGTTGCAGTACGGAGGTCGCGTCCTGCATCGATTTTGACTACTCATTTCTAACGGATAAAGCTTCACAATTGAACGGTTGGTAATTCCTGTTTTAGTCCTGATAATAGCGCTTCGAATCAGTTTATATTTCCCGCGAACTAAATCTTTTACAATTGCTAGTTTCCACATTGTACGATTTAAATCAGTGTGTACTTGTACGATATGTTTCCTATTTGTATTGTTTGTTTTTTTTCTTTCGGATGCATGGTAGAATTCACTGAGTGACGTCTGATAACTTGCAAATCTTCAGATGTAACACTGTCAATGTTTTGTTCCAATTTTGATCGGTGTCAAGTCGACGGCCATATAACAGGTGCGCTGGAGTTAGCGACACATGATCTTTAATGTCAGTAGAAATGTATGGAGTTGGACAATTTTTTGGAGTTTCTTCAATATCAATGAAATTATATTTAACATTTCCTTAGAAACACACGATTTTCCTAGTGTAGCTTTTTAAGACACAGAACCACTAATTCGGGCCCGGTCAGAAAGTAGTACATATTTATACAGTGTTAAAACAAAATAGTTCCTACGCATAGCTCTAACTTTGTCAACATGTACAATATTTGGGTAATTTTGGTATCAAATGAAAGCTTAGGTACTTAGGATTACTGTAGAACCCGTGTTGAAAGTTTTTTTGGATAATAAAAAAAACATATTCAGCACAAGTCAGGATAATATATAGTTTTGACATAGTTTAGATCGTTGTTTTCCTTTTTCCTGGGAAATCAAGACCGGTTACCGAATTAGGATATCTGTTAACTCAGTCTTAAGGCAGCGGTTGCGGTTTAGGTGCTCTGTAAGGCTTTCCTGATATCTTAATACATTGAATACATTTACGAAGTTGTGATTTTACGCACTGGGGTATCGAATATTTCTGTTGAATGTAAGCAATTGTACTTGTTTTGTCTTAATGTGCGCATCATTTACGACTAACGACGTAACCAAGACTTTCAAGTGGTGAAGTTGAAATCGTTCCTTCGTTAATTTTACGGACGCTATTATTGGTTGACGTTATGGAACATTCGTTTCACAAATGACAACGGACGATTCAATTGTCGTAACCACAATCCCGTCCCCTTTTCCTCGAATGTGACCTACATGCACCGAATTATGCTTTTCGCCGTGTTTGTACATGTAATGAGCAGCACAACGGGTGCCACATGTGATGCAGGATCTGCTAACCCCTCCAATGCACCTGAGATCATCCCAAGTTTTTGGTAGGGATTGTGTTGCTCAGTTTTTTGTTTTTGATGTTGTGTTTTGTGTTTTATTGTTTGTTTGTCTTTTTCTTTTTTAGCCATGGTATTGTCCGTTAATTTTCTATTTATGAGTTTGATTGTTCGTTTGGTATCGGTCGGCTCTCTTTATAACGACGTTAAACTATGATGTCATAACAACGGGTATTTTGTTTCCTCCTCTGTAGGTGCGTTACGTATTCTCCCGATACATCGTAGTAATCCAGTATTATCTAAACACAATTTCAGTTGTCAGACAAAACTAAGTGGCACTTATTCTGGGAAGACAAAGTCAAGCCACCAATGTCATCCTAAACTGTTTCCTGTTGTACGGCTCCTATAAGATACGGATAAAACACAATAAAGGGAACAGTAAGGTTGCACTTGAGGTCAAAAATAGAAGTCAACAACAATATAAAAAAAATTATGATCTTGAATAAGTAATGCTTGAAATTTGTAAAACTCATTTGGTTAGTGGAAAAAACAATGAGAAGTGTTTTATTTTTAACTTTGTATGGAGTAAGGTAAGTGCTGGTTACGGACACTATTTGTAAAATTAACCTATAGAAATTTATGTCTTTAATGAACTATCCCAAGTCGTTTTGCATAATTTTAATTCCAATACAATTTATTAACAAAATACCTAAAAAAAAAATCACAGGAATAAAGTTTAACTTTCGCATTCTGCAAAATTATACCCCCTTTCTTAATAAGTAAAACAAGGATTATTGTAAGAACAGCAGTCGGACCTCTCTTAAAATGAAAGACTCAATATACATGTATCCCATCAAAATCATTGAGATTTGACCTTCTATTGATGGGAATATAAATCACAGCGGGAAATGTATTCCTTGCATAAAGGGTATCTAAAATAATCACAATAAGCTAGTTGAGTTACGGACACTACTGTACATTAATCTTATGTTTATAATTTACTCAATATGAATAACTTTTCATGGGTAACATATTAAGTTTGTGTATTTTCTTTTTATTATCTATATTTTTTAACAACAGAATGACCCATAATTGTAAATAAATATATGTAATCAAAGTTATTTACATGTAAACATACATGACATGTTGACATGGATAGGACCAAGTTTATCATTTCAAATCTGAAGTAAAACCTTAGACATATCTAAACAAAGTAGGTGCTATGCACTTAAAGGAATGATAAAAAAAAACATATTTCTGAAAAGAAAATCCTTAGAAGTTAGAATTACATTTGTTAATCAGAAGAAGAGAAATGTTGATGGTTACGGAGACCAGTGTACTACACACTGACTTAGTTACTTTTTCCAACAATTTTCTAAAAGTGACATACTTTTTGTGGATTAAAGAGTAGTAATTTCTACAGAACTTCATGAAATAAATGTTTTTGTATCATAAGACACTACCAGAATTGTAGATAAATCAAAAATAAAACATACTGTACCTTCAAATATATACTTTAGTTCATTAAACATGTTAAATTAACTTTTTGGTGTATTTTACAAAATGTCATATACTAATGTCAAGTACAGATCTTTAACAAATCTACATGCTAGTCTACATGGTATAAATCAATTGGAGGAAGAAAAACAAGAGATTTTGAAAAATGAAAAAGGTATTTAATATTTTTGACTCAGAAATAAAAATCCCTGGGTTACGGACACTACAAAAATAATCTGAAGATATAAAAACCATAAAAATAATTATGAATTTTCTTAACATATCATTACAAATGAACTCATCTTGTGAGTTTATGACAAACTGATACCAAAATGGGGGTTTTACAATAAGATGTTCTGGTTTCAAATTAGTATTAGTACGTTAAGGATTACTATCAGCTCAAATATTTAGGTCTTTCCACTTTTCTGTGGAAAGACCTATTGGTTTTCTTCTGATTATTAGGTCTTTCCACTTTTCTGTGGAAAGACCTATTGGTTTTCTTCTGATTATTAGGTCTTTCCACTTTTCTGTGGAAAGACCTATTGGTTTTCTTCTGATTATTTAGGTCTTTCCACTTTTCAGTGGAAAGACCTATTGTATTTGTTCTGATTATTATTATTATTATTATTATTATTATTAGGTATTTCCACTTTTCTGTGGAAAGACTTATTGTATTTGTTCTGATTATTATTATTATTTTTTTTTTTTTTCTTCGGCCTAATTTTGTTCTTGCGATAAATATTTGTTTCGCAATATGTCGCTTAGATATTTGGTATATGATATCGAACAGTTTATGCGCCTTTGAAATTTACCCTGCGTAACCAAATAATTTTCTTTGTAGGAGTTATCTCCCCGAACACTGTTTTCCTTGTGCAAGCATCTCCTCCGTAACCGTAAAAGAAAGCGACAAATTTATTTTACCAAATTGCTCGTTATATCCTCAGGATGTTTTGTCCAATTTTGACCGAAGCGATACGTAAACTCCATATGAGAGTTATTTCCCCTTCTGTATTTGACATAAGGGATATATAAATGTATAGCATGAATGGTAAGTGATAGAGACCTAAGGTATATTGATTTGAGTTCCTTGGTTCATTTAAATGAAATTGAGGCCAAGGTCAAAGGTCAAGGTCATATTCTAAATTTTGACTTTTCCTTGTTATTTCATCTCCTCTGTCACTTTTAAAATTAAAAATTAAAGAACTAGTGCAAAATGTTTGCTTAATTGTGATTAAGATATGATACATTTGGTCTGAAACAATCCAATGATATCTTATAGGAGTTATTGTCCCTGAAATGATTAAATTTAAGGTTAATTGATTATTACTCCAACTTGGTACATGATAAAGCCGTAGGGTCTTTTACAAACTGTTGGTTGACATATGACCTTGAAAAAATAAAACCGGAAGTGACCTTGAGTGAACCGGAAGTAGTATTTTTTGCACTTATTTCTCGGAAAAGTACCTAGAAACCATATATTTTTTGAATGATCATAGGTTAACCTATCATTTGAGACCGGAAATGAAATTTTATAAACCGGAAGTAGCATAATATCTCTCTTATTACAGGCATAAGTATATACAAACTATATATTTTTGGAATCAGTGTAAATAAAGCTTTCATATGAGACCGAAAGTGACATTTTCTAAACCGGAAGTAGTGAATTATCTCCCTTTTTACAGGCAAAAGTATATATCAACCATATATTTTTGAAATCAGTGTAAATAAATCTATCATATGAGACCGGAAGTGACATTTTCTAAACCGGAAGTAGCCAATTATCTCCCTTTTTACAGGCAAAAGTATATATAAACCATATATTTTTGGAATCAGTGTAAATAAAGCTATCATATGAGACCGGAAGTGACATTTTCTTAACAGGAAGTTGACAATTATCTCCCTTATTTCAGGCAAAAGTCTATAGAAACCATATGTTTATTGAATCAGTATGAAGAAACCTATAATTGGACGCCAATAGTAGCTTTGAGTAAACCAGAATTAGCTTTTCATCAATTATTTAGAAAATTGATGTGGAAAGACCTTCAATTGTTCTTTGAACAATTGGTTTTTAATTAGGTCTTTCCACTTTTCTGTGGAAAGACCTATTGTATTTGTTCTGATTATTATTATTATTATTAGGTCTTTCCACTTTTCGGTGGAAAGACCTATTGTATTTGTTCTGATTATTATTATTATTATTATTTTTTTTTTTCTTCCGCCAAATTTTGTTCTTGCGATAAATATTTGTTTCACAATATGTCGCTTAGATATTTCTCATATTGTATCGTATAGTTTATGCGCTTTTAAATTTTACCCTGCTAAGCCGAACAATTATCTTTGTAAGAGTTATCTCCCTATTCACTGTTTATCAAGTGTGTGCATCTCCTTCGTAACAAAAAAAGATATCGACAAAATTCTTTTTCTAAATTGTTCGTTACATCCTCAGGAATTTTTGGCTAATTTGGATTGAAGCAATTCGATGAAATTTTATAGGAGTTATCTACCTTTATCAAATAAATTTGTCGTTATGTTTTTGTTACTCGTAAACTGTAAGCCGTATAAACCTATAGTCTTTTTATTTGCGGTCCTTGGTTCCTAACTTCGAAAATGAGGTCAAGGTCAAAGGTCAAGGTCATGTTCTGAATTTTGTCTTTTGCTTGTTTTTGCATTTTCTCCGATATTTTTAATGTTATATATTAAAGAACAAGTGCAAAATGTTTGTTATATTGTGATGAAGATGTGATACATTGGTCTGAGACAATCCAGCGACATCTTATTGGAGTTATTGCCCCTGAAATGTTTTATTTTAAGGTAAATTGATTATTACTTCATATTGGTACATGATAAAGCCATAAGATCTTTTGCAAAATGTTGGGTGACATATGACCTTGAAAAATGTCAACCGGAAGTGACCTTGAGTGAACCGGAAGTAGTCATTTTTGCACTTATTTCATGTAGAAGTACATAGAAACCATATATTTTTTGAATGGTCATACATTAATCTACCATTTGAGACCGGAAGTGATATTTTATAAACCGGAAATAGCATATTATCTCCCTTATTACAGGCATAAGTATATATCAACCATATATTTTTGGAATCAGTGTAAATAAAGCTATCATATGAGACCAAAAGTGACATTTTCTAAACCGGAAGAAGCCAATTATCTCCCTTTTTACAGGCAAAAGTATATATAAACCATAAATTTTTGGATCAGAGTAAATATATCTATCATTTGAGACCGGAAGTGACATTTTTTAAACCGGAAGTAGCCAATTATCTCCCTTTTTACAGGCAAAAGTATATATAAACTATATATTTTTGGAATCAGTGTAAATAAAGCTATCATATGAGACCAGAAGTGACATTTTCTAAACCGGAAGTTGGCATTTATCTCCCTTATTTCAGGCAAAAGTATATAGAAACCATTTATTTATTGAATCAGTATGAAGAAATCTATACTTTGACGCTATTTATAACTTTGAGTAAACCAGAAGTAGCTTCCTATCAATTATTAGAAAATTGATGTGGAAAGACCTTCAATTGTTCTTTGAACAATTGGTTTTTAATTATTATTATTATTATTTTTTTTTTCTTCTGCCAAATTCTGTTCTTGCGATAAATATTTGTTTCGCAATATGTCGCTTAGATATTTCTCATATTGTATCGTATAGTTTATGCGCTTTTAAATTTCACCCTGCTAAGCCGGACAATTATCTTTGTAAGAGTTATCTCCCTATTCACTGTTTATCAAGTGTGTGCATCTCCTTCGTAATAAAAAAAGATATAGACAAAATTCTTTTTCTAAATTGTTCGTTACATCCTCAAGAATTTTTGGCTAATTTGGATCGAAGCGATTCGATGAAATTTTATAGGAGTTATCTACCTTTATGAAATAAATTTGTCGTTATGTTTTTGTTACTCATAAACTGTAAGCCGTATCAACCTATAGTCTTTTTATTTGAGGTCCTTGGATCCTTACTTCGAAAATGAGGTCAAGGTCAAAGGTCAAGGTCATGTTCTGAATTTTGTCTTTTGCTTGTTTTTGCATTTTCTCCGATATTTTTAATGTTATATATTAAAGAACAAGTGCAAAATGTTTGTTATATTGTGATGAAGATATGATACATTTGGTCTGAGACAATCCAGCGACATCTTATTGCAGTTACTGCCCCTGAAATGTTTTATTTTAAGGTAAATTGACTATTACTTCATATTGGTACATGATAAAGCCATAAGATCTTTTGCAAAATGTTGGGTGACATATGACCTTGAAAAATGTCAACCGGAAGTGACCTTGAGTAAACCAGAAGTAGTCATTTTTGCACTTATTTCATGTAGAAGTACATAGAAACCATATATTTTTTGAATGGTCATACATTAATCTATCATTTGAGACCGGAAGTGATATTTTATAAACCGGAAATAGCATATTATCTCCCTTATTACAGGCAAAAGTATAAATAAACCATATATTTTTGGAATCAGTGTAAATAAAGCTATCATATGAGACCGAAAGTGACATTTTCTAAACCGGAAGTAGCCAATTATCTCCCTTTTTACAGGCAAAAGTATATATAAACCATATATTTTTGGAATCAGTGTAAATAAATCTATCATATGAGACCGAAAGTGATATTTTCTAAACCGGAAGTAGCCAATTATTATTTCCCTTTTTACAGGCAAAAGTATATATAAACCATATATTTTTGGAATCAGTGTAAATAAAGCTATCATATGAGACCGGAAGTGACATTTTCTAAAGCGGATGTTGACAATTATTTCCCTTATTTCAGGCAAAAGTCTATAGAAACCATATGTTTATTGAATCAGTATGAAGAAATCTATGATTGGACGCCAATAGTAGCTTTGAGTAAACCAGAATTAGCTCCTCATCAATCATTTAGAAAATTGATGTGGAAAGACCTTCAATTTTTTTTTTTCTTCCGCCTAATTTTGTTCTTGCGATAAATATTTGTTTCGCAATATGTCGCTTAGATATTTGGTATATGATATCGAACAGTTTATGCGCCTTTGAAATTTACCCTGCGAAACCAAATTATTTTCTTTGTAGGAGTTATCTCCCCGAACACTGTTTTCCTTGTGCACGCATCTCCTCCGTAACCGTAAAAGAAAGCGACAAATTTATTTTACCAAATTGCTCGTTATATCCTCAGGATGTTTTGTCCAATTTTGACCGAAGCGATACGTAAACTCCATATGAGAGTTATTTCCCCTTCTGTATTTGACATAAGGGATATATAAATGTATAGCATGAATGGTAAGTGATAGAGACCTAAGGTATATTGATTTGAGTTCCTTGGTTCATTTAAATGAAATTGAGGCCAAGGTCAAAGGTCAAGGTCATATTTTAAAGGAGTAGGTTCAGTAAGACCCCTTTTTGGCCCCAAAATATAGCAGTTTTACAAAATTGTGAAAATGTAATCTTTAAGCTATTTATTGTAAAGAAGAATGCTTCTGCTACATATATATGGGCTGTTTTTTACAATACAATGCTCATATATCGGGTACTAACATCATTAAGTCATGCTAAATTACTGAAATCTTAAAAATTTTAGCATTTTAGTTAAATTTTAGCCGGTTTTCGTCTTAAATGAAAGTGGCCGCATTCGTGTTCATTCATAATATTGAAATGTAAGTTGCATTTGATGATAATACATAATATATATAAAGGTTGAGGATGAACACGGATGCGGCCACTTTCATTTTTGACAAAAACCATCTGAAAAGTGACGTTTTTTGGCATATTTGATAGATTTTTCATATTTAAGCTTGAATCGGCGCGTTTTTTAATGACTAAATCAGTTAAAATCTTTCACATAAACTAATCGAATCAATTGAAATAGACACTTAAGTGTTTAAAAAGTGTCTAAAATCTTTCGTAAGATGAACTTGAAATTTGAGGCCAAAATCGGCCCTTACCGGACCTACTCCTTTTGACTTTTCCTTGTTATTTGATCTCCTCTGTCACTTTTAAAATTACAAATTAAAGAACTAGTGCAAAATGTTTGCTTAATTATGATTAAGATATGATACATTTGGTCTGAAATAATCCAATGATATCTTATATGAGTTATTGTCCCTGAAATGATTCAATTTAAGGTAAATTGATTATTACTCCAACTTGGTACATGATAAAGCCATAAGATCTTTTGCAAAATGTTTGGTGACATATGACTTTAAAAAAATGTCAACCGGAAGTGACCTTGAGTGAACCGGAAGTAGTCATTTTTGCACTTATTTCATGTAGAAGTACATAGAAACCATATATTTTTTGAATGGTCATACATTAATCTATCATTTGAGACTGGAAGTGATATTTTATAAACCGGAAGTAGCATATTATCTCCCTTATTACAGGCATAAGTATATATAAACCATTTATTTTTGGAATCAGTGTAAATAAAGCTATCATATGAGACCGAAAGTGACATTTTCTAAACCGGAAGTAGCCAATTATCTCCCTTTTTACAGGCAAAAGTATATATAAACCATATATTTTTGGAATCAGTGTAAATAAATCTATCATATGAGACCGGAAGTGACATTTCCTTAACCGGAAGTAGCCAATTATCTCCCTTTTTACAGGCAAAAGTATATATAAACCATATATTTTTGGAATCAGTGTAAATAAAGCTATCATATGAGACCGGAAGTGACATTGTCTAAACCGGAAGTTGACAATCATCTCCCTTATTTCAGGCAAAAGTCTATAGAAACCATATGTTTATTGAATCAGTATGAAGAAACCTATGATTGGACGCAAATAGTAGCTTTGAGTAAACCAGAATTAGCTTCTCATCAATTATTTTTTTTTCTTCCGCCAAATTTTGTTATTGCGATAAATTTTTGTTTGGCAAGATGTCACTTAGATGTTTCGTATATGATATCCAACAGTTTATGCGCCTTTGATATTGACCCTGCTTAACCGAATACTTTTCTTTGTAGGAGTTATCTCCCCGAACACTGTTTTCCTTTGTGTGTGCATCTCCTCCGTAACCGTAAAAGAAAGCGACAAATTTATTTTACCAAATTGCTCGTTATATCCTCAGGATGTTTTGTCCAATTTTGACCGAAGCAATACGTAAACTCCATATGAGAGTTATTTCCCCTTCTGTATTTGACATAAGGAATATATAAATGTATAGCATGAATGGTAAGTGATAGAGACCTAAGGTATATTGATTTGAGTTCCTTGGTTCATTTAAATGAAATTGAGGCCAAGGTCATATTCTAAATTTTGACTTTTCCTTGTTATTTAATCTCCTCTGTCACTTTTAAAATTACAAATTAAAGAACTAGTGCAAAATGTTTGCTTAATTGTGATTAAGATATGATACATTTGGTCTGAAACAATCCAATGATATCTTATAGGAGTTATTGTCCCTGAAATGATTCAATTTAAGGTTAATTGATTATTACTCCAACTTGGTACATGATAAAGCCATAGGATCTTTTGCAAACTGTTGGTTGACATATGACCTTGAAAAAAATAAACCGGAAGTGACCTTGAGTGAACCGGAAGTAGTATTTTGCACTTATTTCATTGAAAAGTACCTAGAAACCATATATTTTTTGAATGATCATAGGTTAACCTATCATTTGAGACCGGAAGTGACATTTTATAAACCGGAAGTAGCATATTATCTTCCTTATTACAGGCATAAGTATATACAAACTATATATTTTTGGAATCTATATACAAACTATATATTTTTGGAATCAGTGTGAAAGCTATCATATTAGACCGGAAGTGACATTTTCTAAACCGGAAGTTGGAAATTATCTCCCTTATTTCAGGCAAAAGTATATAGAAACCATTTATTTATTGAATCAGTATGAAGAAATCTATACTTTGACGCTATTAATAACTTTGAGTAAACCAGAAGTAGCTTCCTATCAATTATTTAGGAAATTGATGTGGAAAGACCTTCAATTGTTCTTTGAACAATTGGTTTTTAATTTTTTTTTTTTTTTTTCTTCCGCCTAATTTTGTTCTTGCGATAAATTTTTGTTTTGCAAGATGTCGCTTAGATGTTTCGTATATGATATCTAACAGTTTATGCGCCTTTGAAATTGACCCTGCTTAACCGAATACTTTTCTTTGTAGGAGTTATCTCCCCGAACACTGTTTTCCTTGTGCACGCATCTCCTCCGTAACCGTAAAAGAAAGCGACAAATTTATTTTACCAAATTGCTCGTTATATCCTCAGGATGTTTTGTCCAATTTTGACCGAAGCGATACGTAAACTCCATATGAGAGTTATTTCCCCTTCTGTATTTGACATAAGGGATATATAAATGTATAGCATGAATGGTAAGTGATAGAGACCTAAGGTATATTGATTTGAGTTCCTTGGTTCATTTAAATGAAATTGAGGCCAAGGTCAAAGGTCAAGGTCATATTCTAAATTTTGACTTTTCCTTGTTATTTGATCTCCTCTGTCACTTTTAAAATTACAAATTAAAGAACTAGTGCAAAATGTTTGCTTAATTGTGATTAAGATATGATATATTTGGTCTGAAATAATCCAATGATATCTTATATGAGTTATTGTCCCTGAAATGATTCAATTTAAGGTTAATTGATTATTACTCCAACTTGGTACATGATAAAGCCATAGGGTCTTTTGCAAACTGTTGGTTGACATATGACCTTGAAAAAAGTAAACCGGAAGTGACCTTGAGAGAACCGGAAGTAGTATTATTTGCACTTATTTCATTGAAAAGTACCTAGAAACCATATATTTTTTGAATGATCATAGGTTAACCTATCATTTGAGTCCGGAAGTGACATTTTATAAACCGGAAGAAGCATATTATCTTCCTTATTACAGGCATAAGTATATACAAACTATATATTTTTGGAATCAGTGTGAATAAAGCTATCATATGAGACCGTAAGTGACATTTTCTAAACCGGAAGTTGGCAATCATCTCCCTTATTTCAGGCAAAAGTATATAGAAACCATTTATTTATTGAATCAGTATGAAGAAATCTATACTTTGACGCTATTAATAACTTTGAGTAAACCAGAAGTAGCTTCCTATCAATTATAATTAGAAAATTGATGTGGAAAGACCTTCAATTGTTCTTTGAACAATTGGTTTTTAATTTTAATAGTTATCTTTTTTTGCATATTTTTTTAGTCTTTAATCAAAAGACAATGATGATGCAGCAAAGTAGACATCATAGAACCTAGAAATTAAGCCTATTTCGATGAAATAAAAATATTCATAATATGATGGTTTAAGGTTACGGACACGACATCATTTTTTGTAGTGTCCGTAACCATGTTTTCATTTATTCTGACTAAATTCTAATAAGAAGGTGTTTTTTTTTATGTTAGTGTTGAGTGTCAAATATATAAAGAAAAGTTGTTTATTGTTTACTGTAGCTATTCTTTCTAGGAGAATAATAAACTGGTTAGGGACACTACACTTTTTTGAAAAATATTTTTTGGACTTAAAATATTCTGCATGAATCATATCATTTATATGACTGTTTTTTATTTTAGTGTTATTATATGCGAGTATGTTGACATACATATTTTATGGCATAAAATATGTATGTCAACATACTCGCATATAATAAAATATGGATTATCTTGCAATTAGTTTTATTTTCAGGGCCATAAATGATCAACACTTAATAAATTGAAAAATGTATAACGATGATTCGAAACACCACTTTTAAAATTCTGCATGTTAAATTTTTAAACTAGCACAGATTTTTGTAATGTTGGAATCATTTTAATCGATTTTTGATATTCTGTAAAGAAAAACATGAGAAATGATCATTATACTTACTGTTAAAAAGATTTTAAAGATAGAAATAATGTAAAATTTGAAGCGCAACCGCATAACGTCTGAAAATGACCAATTTTGGACCACTAATCTCACTGGTGTTCAAAAACTATACAAGATAGATGATATTTAAAATTTGAATGAGGTTAAAACATTCAACGTCAAATATTAAATACTGAAAACTGGCATCCAAATGTATTTAAGTTAGCTGTAGAGCTAACATAACAAAGACCAATTGTAAATGTCCCCGTTATTGTGTTTCACCGGATAGTGTAATGCTTTATATCGTTCTTTTAAACTGATAATTCTGATTTGTCGTTTTTCTTTAGGATCGCGTAAGTTTCAGATAAAACATAAGACGGAATAACTATGCTGTATCTCTTATTGCTATTTCTAACGAATTGTAGCGTTGCATGTCTATAAATGTAATCGTCAAACTATATGTTCAACCTTAAATGTTTCCTGTTGTACAGCTCCTATAAGAAAGTGTAATGCTTTATATCGTTTCTAAAGTTACACAGTCACTGGTAAATCCGATTTGTCTATTTTCTTTCGGGTCGCGTAAGTTTCGGATAAAACGTGACGTCATGCACTTGAACCCCATGTTTTATTTGGATAAGAACATGTCTTGTTTACAAAGCAAAGAAGGGTATAATTTTAGAATGAACGACTCAGCCGTATGAAACTTTTTTTCAGGTTGCAAAGAAGGCTGGTATGATTGGTTTGGGGGAAACGAATGTTACTACATTTCTGCCTTTAATGATACGAAAAGCTGGAGGGAGGCTTATGTAAGTAGGTTTGTGAAAACCCAGATTGAGGCTACTGTAAGTAGGTTTGTGCATTATTTAACGAAAACCCAGAGTGAGGCTACTGTAAGTAGGTTTGTGCATTATATGAATGCAAATAAAATGATGAAAGGGATCGTTACAATCTAAAAATAAGAAGATGTGGTATGATTGACAATGAGACAAGAGACAAAATGACGTAAAAGTTAGCACTGAGACTACTATAACACATAGTCTCAGGTTAGCATTACTAGGTGACCGTACGGACAAATCTAATTTCAACACAATGCCTTCAACGGCATTTGTTGTTTTTACCAATTTATACTATCAACATCCATGTAAAACATTCATTAATACATAAGACGTTTGTGCTAAAAGTAGCAATGTACTATTAGATTCCATCCGAAATAGCAAACAGAACATTGCCACGAAGAAAGGAATAAATTACAATAGAAAGAGATAAATTATAATCCCTTTTGTTTTAAAACAAGTTCTATCTATAAGCAGGTTCTGTTATTTAACGGATACTTTTTAATGTTGTATTCGAAAGGATATTTATAAATTCAGATGGGTAGTTTGTATAATTATTTGAAAAGATCTAGATAATGTATAAAATTTTTGAATTAAAAATATATGTGTATTCTCTGTACAGAAAATACATTACTAAGAAGCGACATTATTTTGCATCCAAATCAATGATATCAAACGGCCTTATTTTTGCCGCAGATACATGTATCATTTAAAAATCAGTCTTAATGACATGAATTTAAGCATCTATTGTTTACCATAAGCTTTAACAATTAGCAAAACCCATACAGTATAGTCAGCGATAAAACGTCCTAACATGACAACACGTAAACCAATTCAAACGAAAAAAAAACGAATGAAAACAAACCAATTAATTAAAGAGATATAAGAAAGTAAAATATAGCAATTTTTGTCAAAATTTTTCTAATGACAATGAATGAAACGTTGAAATTTACAGCCCAAAGAGGCCAACAAAACAAATGTGTGCGAAACTTGTCAAAAGCTTCTTACGGTAGCTAGGGGGGGTCTAAATTAAAATCCATAGTTTTTTTAATAACTTGTCGAAATGTAGTTTATATCATGCTTTTTTCAAAAATATAGTAAAAAGTATGGGTCACCGTATTTATTTGCACGCTACAGGTTGTGCAGAATTGTTAGATTTTGTATAGATAATGCATGGAAAACCCAATTTTGTGTCATAAAACGAAAACTGCACCAATGAATTTTGAGATGAAATATGAGAAGATAGCTCTGTTAAATAATATGCTTTCAGATAAGAAAAAAAAAATGGGGTCACCAGACTCATTTTCTTGCTACATTATAAAATAGGTTAATTCCCAACACATTCTATTAATTGTAAAAGTTACTTTAACTGAATTATCTCCCCTTACATTTGAGTTGTCTCCCCTTATGTGGCAAAGTTGGAAAAATTTGAATCAAAACAAAAATATTCTGTTTTTTTGTCAAATACATTCCATTAAAGGTCTAGACCGATTGTTATCTAGTATTTCAAATTCCAAGATGGAGGAAGACACCCGTGCCACCTTAATACTAAACATATTTAGCCCTAGGAATCATACACCACAGCATGGTTCAACATCCTAAATATTCAGGTCGGATATGTTATTTGTTATGAAAAAACAAAAAGATACGATATATTTTTGCTGATGCAAGCGCGGTATGTTTCCAGTATTGACAACAATTAGAAATTCGTTCATTTCATTGAATAGGTGAACAATTGATACCGGTAATATTTTACATGTATATTGTATTTTGACATTTTTTTTCTATCTTGTCGTTGTTTTAATTTAGTACTTTTAAATGTGAAAATAAATCTAAATATAAATACTAATTGAAATGTTAACTAAAAATGAAACCATTTAGGTACTTATCGAAACATTTTAGTCTACATATTTCTTGTTTATGTATGATTTTGATGTACATTATAAATGTGATAAATTAGACTAAGTATGATTTTTCCATTTTACACTCACTGTACCATTGATGTCATTTTATAAATTCATTTATACTAGCTACTTTACAGAAATAAAAAAAAAAATAACAAAATGTGCCCGATTGATAATTTCACACAAAGTCACTATTATTTTAGTTGACATTTTTCAGAATAATATCTCGAGTCAAAATCGTTTGAGGCATATCATCGTATTTACGTTGTATTTTTCCCTTACAGGAAGCATGCAAAAACTTAGGAGCAGACTTGGCATATGCTAAATTCAATATGAAGTGGAATTTTAATGCTGCGGGATCATTTGCAATAAAAAGCAAGGTACGTATAACAAGACACACCATTATTGTAAATTAAGATTATAACATTGTATATCATATATGTATATCAGACAGTTTAAAAAGGTTGCAAGAAATATGTAATCTTTGTTTTAACAGGACACAGAGGAACAACAATCTCGGAAAGGGGGGGGGGGGGGGGGAGGGGGGCACTTCATATTTACAAGGTGATAGGACGTGACGCTGGAATAGGTCACATTTTGTGAATAGGTGGGGAAAACTATCAGAAATATATAATAAGGTAAATAAAGTTCTAATTATTTGTAAATGAAAAGCCCTGTCATTTTTTCACAGCCGAAAGTCTCGCCTTAAGTAAACATTAGATACAGAATCTTAGCATAAAATATACCACTTTTCGAACACACCACACGAAACCAAACCAAAAAGGTTACATTTTTACCTACGCAATCAGGGTTTGACACTAATTTTTTTACCTTAGTAGTCCACAGGACTAGTTAGTTTTAAATGTTATAGTCCTGTTTGCTGCGTGGTAGTCCTGAGGGTAGCGAAGATGCCCTTACCAACTAGGGGGGTTTGGGGGCATGCCCCCTTGATTTTAAAAAAAAATTAGATGCAAAATCCTGCCATTTGAGCACTTTGGGAGGCTATACAATGAGCTTTTTGGAATGGATATTTTCCCCAGGATAATAAAAAAAATAGGAAAGAGTTTAATGAATCTCAATTTATTTTTCATTATTGCATAAGGTCAAGAAAAAGTCTGTACGACTTCATCTGAAGAGAAGTTATATCTCTGTTGCTGTAATACAGCTCATCATCCTCATCCTGTTCCTCGTCCTCATTTTCTAATTTCTCCGCACACATATACACATCTGCATGATCTGGTTCAATTAAGATATCATTTTGATCCTCATCAGCCATCTCAAATTCTGGGATTTCAGCTCCTTCAATCAATACAATGTTATCAACTCTTGTGTTCTGAAAATTGAGAATAGAAAGCTTTAACTTATCATGTCTTTTAATTTAAAAGAGCCAGGAATTCTTTCAAATAAAACCCTAATTATCATATATTATTGGTAAAGAATTTGTAAAAGTCAAATAAGTATTCAAGTAACAATATATAATATGTTGTATCCAGCATCAGGGTTTCAAGCTAATTTGACACACATACAAGACAAAGTGCATTAAAATAAAACCATAACAACACCCCAACTTCCTTAAAAACCATGGAGTAACATTACCTGCTTTGAATGGGGGTAAGCATGTCTTGTCATTCAACATAAAAACAAAACATTGAGTAAAATTGAGAATGGAAATGGGGGAATGTGTCAAAGAGACAACAACCCGACCATAGAGCAGACAACAGCCGAAGGCCACCAATGGGTCTTCAATGCAGCGAGAAACTTCCGCACCTGGAGGGGTCCTTCAGCTGGCCCCTAAACAAATATGTATACTAGTTCAGTGATAATGGACGTCATACTAAACTCCAAATTATACACAGGAAACTAAAATTAAAAATGATACAAGACTAACAAAGGCCAGAGGCTCCTGACTTTGGACAGGCGCAAAAATGCGGCTGGGTTAAACATGTTTTTTGAAGTAAATGTTTTGTTTACAATGTTATGTTGATATTTTTAATATATCTGTAAATAGTTAATATTTAATATGATTAATTTTGGTGTTTTTATGTCCTGTATATACAAAGTGTACCTTTTTAAGATCATCTTTGTAAAAGGGTCTTCTGGTTCTAACCCCTCCAGTGTTGCAGGCATTAATGGCAGATGTTGGATCATATTTGTCCACAGATAGTGTTTCCAGAGAAACTAAAATGAAATCCGATAAATTCTGGCACCCGAGACGTGATCTCCAATCATTTTTTATGACTTTCATGCTGAAAATATATAATGTTATCCATGTACTTTATTAGATTTATTTCTGTTAAATGACAAAGACGGTGAATCTGGAAAAGTCTTAACTCACAAGTAATATATCTATAAAAAATTAGCTGTTTGTTTTGTAAGTTTTTAATTCAATATTATAAAGAAAGAATGGAGCAAAAATGTACTGGTACAGGGGACAAAATCCCTTCAACTAGCTTTTGTCTTCTTGTTCTTTCTCTTACAGTCAGGGACCACCAACCTCTAGAAATTTTCCAAGTACACAGCATATATTTTAACAGTTTTATGTGTGTTTTTTTAATTACCTTGAAAATCCTCGTTCCGCATCTACTGACGATAATGGCAGTGTCAGTAAATAATCAATTAACATAAACAGATTTGGATATGTTGACATATAGGCATCTGCTGCTGCACTCCATGTCATTGTCTGGATTGACTTACTGCTGAAATGAATATTAATATATTTAATTATCTATTTCTATCACTTTAATGTTAAAAACAAATTCTGTTACAAAAAAAATCAAGACTGGAAACATAGGGTTTCCTTTTTAAAGTCAATCAATAATATGGATTTTTTTCATTTTGGTAAATAATCTCACCAAATTATTCTTTGGTATCTTAAAATTACCAGCATCAATCAAACGGTGAAGCTTAATTTGTCAAATATACAGTACAAATACCTTGTATTCATGGTATTATACAATTCGGTTTTAAATCGGGTCCATTCAGACTCAATTGCATCAGGGTCTACTGTGACTGAACAAAGCTCCAAAGCAAGGCCTGCTAACTTCCACTATATGTGAGTCACCAAACTCTGTAGAAATAAATTCAATATGTCATAATGATATAAAAATGAAAAACACTGACAGGTGACGTCTTTATGTCTAGTATCCCTTCTTTTAATATATAAAAAAGATAAAACTATGAATAATGCCAGAATATAAGAACTTAATTGTATTGGAATCTGAAAGTTCACTTTATATACTTCGATCCTTTAAATTTGTTTATTGTATAAATAAAAAATGACACTTACCTGTGTACCAAATCAATTTAAAACTTATGGAATATTGATCGATACCAAAATGAAATACAAACTCATCAATCTAAAGCAAACTGACAATGCCATGCCAAAAAACAAAACAAAAAGATAAAAAAAACGAACAACTGCACACAAAACACAAAATAGAAACTAAAGATTAAATCAATTACTATCATTGATACCTATATCCTGTTCAAGACTGCGTGGCCATTTAGGAAAAGAGAGAACTGTACAGCCCTTGAACAAATGTAAATCGCCTTCAAAGCGTGTTGAAATAGCTTGAATAAGACTATTTAAGAATGTGTTTCTTGTACTTTGCATTATTTTTTCCCCATCACAATCTGATGCATTCATGTACTTTCGTACATTTGGTCCATCACTAAACAGAAAGAAACACCTACTCAAGCATTTTTATAATGGTAACATACATGCAAAAAATGAAGATGCATCACTGGAGATATTAAGGAACAGATAAAAAAAACATACAATCAATCAAATAAACTCTGTTATCACTCATGAAATAATATCAAGATACAACATGTAGGCATTTTTATTAAACAGACTATTTTCATATTACCGACTTTTGACTCCGGATTATATAATTTTTCGCCTGGTTACCTTGGACATCATAGTACCAAGTCAGGTAAGAGCTAAAGAAGTAATAAAAACCAAGCTTTCAATCGCTACAAAATCATCGGAAAACAGTAAACTTTCCCCTCAAATTACACCGATTATAAGTTTGATTTTACTTATTTTGGTTGCTCTTACTTGACCGAGTACCATGATGTCCAAGGTAACCAGTCGACAAATTATATAATCCGGAGTCAAAAGTCAGTAAAATGAAAATAGTCTATTGAATTCATTCATTTAAATTTCTCATTTTATTTTCATCTCTTAAAGCACAAACGAAAGAAAGTGAAAATATTAATAATGCATTGATATATTTGCTTTTCATTGAATAATAATAATAAGCAGATATGTAAACTAATATACCTGTTTATGTACTTTCCCATAATGGATTTGCATGCTTCTAACTCATTATAAACATCCCCAAGATTGCTGTCTTTACTTTGTACTGTCCTTGACACAGTGCTCAAGCTTTGAACAACATCAAACATAAAATGAAGCCAAAAAAGAGTATGTTTATCTTTTAAGGCTTAATGAAAATTTCTTGCTTTGGCGCTAGAATCCTTGCGTGCCTCTCCAGGTGCTTGCATCTGAAAAGAAGAAAGTATTATTTTTGATAACACAAAAACTAATTGACACAATCCATATGAGGTAGAGCTTAAAAATAAATGTACAGTATACAGCAAAGTGATATCTCATTCTGTAATGTTGGAATGTCTGATTAGACAATAACTTTCATAATTGAATCTCATGTCTTTTAAATGTTTAACAACTCACAAGTACATGTAGATAGAAGAATTTGATGCTCTCATATTCATATAACAAACCTGTTCAAGATGACGAACAATTGCAGCATGGCCATGCAATACATTCTTCAAAGCTCGTTCATGATAGGGAACCCAGCGTGTTCCTCCCACCCTTGTCGGTAACAACATCTTCATATTAAGACTTTCAAAGCTAGCCTTCAAATTAGCCCTATTCAGTGGACTATACCTAAAATGAAACAATACCAGATATTTGTTTGGCATTTAAGTTTGAACTTGATAATATAAGATATGGTAAATAGCAAATAATAATGTTTTCATAATATATTAATTGCATTGACTGTTTATTGTATGGGGTTAATTGCATATATATAATTTAACAAGAATTGAAGGAATTTTAACAACAAATATACATGTATTTTTACATGTATTTCATGAATATTCAGTAAAAAATTTAAAAATCTGTGTAAGAGCTCCCAGGATGTACCAAAGCTCTATATTTGAGTTAAAGTACTCGATGAAGTAGTAGATCCCAAAAGATATAAAAACATTTAAGATAGTTTAGTAAAAAATACTTACTTGTAAAACAAGAAGATGTTAAGCATCAGGGCATCACATCTCTGCCAGATCTTTGTTCCCTTTATGGCATCTTTATATGCGAGTTCAATACTACAATGAAAATTGATAATTTTTAGCTTTTATATCTTATATACATGTACAAATGTATAGATATTTGCATGTGCCAAATTCATGCATTGAAAAGTGTTCATAAGTTTGAACATTTATAGTACTTACTTGCTATCCTAAACAAGGCATTAGCATAATTACTTATGTAAATTGTAACTAGAGGCTCTCAAGAGCCTGTGTCGCTCACCTGTATTTACTGATGCTTTGGAAATCATGTAAAATACGGTTAAAATCATAATTAATAGTATTAGATATTATATATTATAATGATATCTAAGATAATAACAAGAAACTGCAAAATGTTTATAAAATCACTAACTCAGGGGCAGCAACCCAACAAATGGTTGTCGGATTCGTCTGAAAATTTCAGGGCAGATAAATCTAAATCTGATGAACATTTTTGCTACCTGTCAGATTTGCTCTAAATGCTTTAGTTTCAGAGATAAACCAAAAACTGCATTTTACCCCTATGTTCTATTTTTAACAAAGTCGGCAATGATGGTTGGAAGGCAGGGTCATCGGACAAATTTTTTAAACTAGATACCCTAATAATGATTATGGCAAAGAATGGTTAAATTTGTCTCAGTAGTTTCAGAGAAGAAGATTTTTGTAAAAGATTACAAAAATTTACAAAAATTGTTAAAAATTGACTATTAAGGGCAATAACTCCTAAAGGGGTCGACTGACAATTTTGGTCATGACAACTTATTTGTAGATCTTACTTTGCTGAACATTATTGCTGTTTACAGTTTACATGTATCTCTATCTATAATGATATTCAAGATAATAACCAAAAACTGCAAAATTTCCTTAAAATTACCAATTCAGGGGCAGCAACCCAACAACAGGTTGTCAGATTTGTCTGAAAATTTCAGGGCAGATAAATCTTGACCTGATAATTAGTTTTACCCTGTCAAATTTACTCTAAATGCTTTGGTTTCAGAGATATAAGCCAAAATCTACATTTTACCCCGTATGCTCTATTTTTAGCCATGGCGGCCATCTTGGTTGGTTGGTGGGTCATCGGACACATTTTTTAAACTAGATACCCTAATGATGATTGTGGCCAAGTTTGGTTAATTTTGGCCCAGTGGTTTCAGAGGAGAAGATTTTTGTAAAAAACTACCGACAACGGACGACGAACGACGGACCAGGTGAGCTAAAAATGCATGCACATATTATCATTATTATGTACAAAAAATGTATGTATACCTGTGTGCAGAGCAGTGAATGGCATAAACTGGTCTACTAGTCATATCTTTTATTCTTTTCACAACTCCACTTGTTTTCCCTAACATGACAGATGCCCCGTCTGTACCCATGGCTACAAGTTTTTCCTTCCAAGTCTCTTGAAACCTCTCTGTCATTAGGTTACTTATTGCTGTACTTATATGTTCACCGTCAGCTTTAGGAACATTCTTAACACCAATAAATAGTGTTGACACCTGTCAGATAAAATTAAATATTCAGAGCTACACATATATCATGTGCAATATAGCAGGATTTCCACATGAACCCCTCCCCTTTTTCCCAAAAAATAATAAAAAAAATTGCTTTGGCTTTACCCTAATTTATTTCCCCTTTCATGTCTATAGACCAGCATGTAACCAAAAAAATCCAACAGTGTCAGATAAAAGCTTTTTTTCTGGGTCATAACTCTAATTATCTGATAATAAGTTTTGCAATATATGTCCTTGATTTAAAATTATGTTACTTAGTAAATTTGATCAACAAAAATGTGAGACATTTAATTTTTTGATTATATAAATATTCTATATATTGTATTCACCTGACACCTTACAGAGGTTCTAACATATAAAATTTCCGCTTCCTTTGACGAAACATCAGTGGATCCATCAGATATGATGGATAAAAAACTGCCTTCTTTCACAATATCATTCCTGCTCTTGTTGTCTAGCCATGGCAACACTACTAACAAATTGTTGACATGATTTGTCAGTAATATAGGTATCACCTATATCTATGCTTTTTGCTTTGTCCAGCAAACATAATTGAACAAAGTCACTGTAAGGACGATTATTTCTTGCAATGTAATGTGCATTCCGAAATAAGAATGTCATTTTGGTGAACGCTGCCCTGTTCATCATGAGCACTGCTCTCTTTGCTTCTGATTGTGTTTGTGTGTTGTTGTCTAATTTTTCCATAGATTTCGCCTTACACTTCTTTGTGTTCATGATATGGCCCTCTGAATTTTGATGAATTCTAATTGTTTCCAATCTAAAGTTGGTACAACCTGTCACAAAGGTGCCAGTTTTCTCATATGCAATACAAATATTGCAAGTCATGCAACCGTTACCCGTCTCATTGTCAACATTGTAGATAAGCCAAGGATACTGCGACTTCCAAGAAGATTGAAAAGTACGCTTCCTTTTTTCCGCGTCGTATGCTTTTTGCACATCTCGCCGTCCCTCTAAGGTTTTAGTTTTTTTAGCTGGTGGGGGGTTTAACCCCAAAAATTTGTACATCTTTGTTTACAATCGGTGTTGATAAAAGGTCGTAATTTCATATCATTATTTTCATTGAAAAAAGCGTTTGAATGATGCAGTTAAGAAACAAGAGGCGTTTAGTCGCCACAAGCACGTGTCGACCTTAAAAGTACGATAAATGGAAGTAAAAAACCCGAGGATGATCGAAAAAAAAGTGGCCGGAATGTAACTCAATTAGGGACGAGTTCAGAGTGGCGAAAAGTGCATAGAACTGCCAGAATAAAGTACGAAACTAATCATTTGCCGGTGTTTTCAAAGAGACATATTTTTTTCGCTGAAATTAAAACTTTTCCCCCAACTTATTCAGTAACTACTAACACAATTTCAGGTAGTCCAAAAGACTATTTATTACGGATTCTCGGGTGGTCCTCCTTAAAATCAAGTGGGCACCGGACTATCGGACTACCGTTAGTGTCGAACCCTGATTGCCGCAATATATGAAAAGGTTTACATTTTTAAGATCTAAATTATATAAAATAGGTGAGGTAACAGAACCCCAGCGACACCCCCTATCAATTAAGTATTGAAATACCCTCCGTCCCCCACCACCTTCCCCAAAGACAACAATATGATCAAAGATACTTGTTTATTCTGATTTCATGTTATTTCTAATAGTATTCATGACAACATTCAATGGCAATCTATACCAATATCTAAAAAACAATAATTAACATTCATGGCAAACAGAAAATGACGAAAGAACAATCAACGGTCCTCAATCCATATCACAAATTATTAAGCAACACGAACCCCACCTAAGTGATAGCCTAAATGCATATGCTTCCGAAGGATAGTTACACTCATCGTGTACACAATGTGTTGCTCATAAAAATAAAATTCAGTAGTCGGTATCACAAAGAAGACTTACGACTAAGATTGATTCGACGTATACTGAATTGTTCATGACTTACGATCAATCTTAGTCGTAAGATTTTTTTGTGAAACCGACTCCTGGTAAAAAGCTGCAGTAATTCGGTGATGTTACAATCGAAAAATGGAGGACGGGAATTGGAAGTTATCCGTGGTGCCGAAAAATTTCGTAGGAATAAATTTAACTTTACCATTATGAGAACCGTTTTGTTAATTTTTTCCATAGACTGCAGCAATCATACATCAAGGAAATTAATTATTTTTGAATGATATGAAATGCATGGGCTGGAATATCATATTTAATACCTAGAAAATATAAAACTCCATTTACAGATCCTGCTGAAATTGTTTTTTTTTTACTTTCTAACCAGATCAAACTTCACTTACTACTTAGTATTGGATCTCTTTTCAGGAATATTTTACTGGCCAGGGCGATATGGCTTGTGGTTAATCGTAAAAAAATGTTGTGGAAAATTGAAATTATTTTACAGGGATAATTCATTACAAAATAAAAAAATAAATAGTTAGGCATTGTTGTTGCACTAGTCAAATGATGTTCCTTTTGGTGGCGATATCATATTCTTGAACTGTACCAAAAACGTATGGACTATCGGGTTTTCTGCATATTGATATCATAAAACAAATACATGTATACTCTTACAAAATTTCAAACACTTCACTTGTATTACAAGATTTTAGAAAAGCTAAATTTTGTTACATTTTGGTGTAATGAAATTTATATTTGTTAAAAATATCTAGTAGTTTCAGACAAAAAGTGTCCGATTCTATATTCTTATATTGAGAAGCAAGAGTTATACAAACCACAAGTAGCGTTGAATTTGTTTCTATTTAATCAAAATTATCTTAATAGTGTATTGCTTCACAGAAAAATAATTTCCTAATATATACCTTAATATAACACGTGTTATATTAAGGTATAATAGGATTTTTTTTCTTAGACAAGTGCTTGTGAACAGTTGAAATAATGGTAGGTGCAAATTCATTTCGTCAATGTTTCTGTAACTATATTTTTTTACAAGGCGATCGAGATAGTTGGTCTTACGTTCAACCACAAAACTGGAGGGCCAATTTGTTTTCTGTTTTCTTAGAAAGATCTTTCTGGTAGAAATACTTATCAAATTATGTAAATATGAATACTAATGCTCATTTGGTTTTTATTCATCGCTTTGCGTCCATCAGTTAACGTTTTAATCTTCTCTGAAAACACAAAACCATATGGAACCAGCAATTCTGGTGAATAGTTCAACTTGTCTCGTTGGCAATCATATCATTTTCTTATTTTCATATATTGACAAAAATGTTTTTGAGGGTTCTTTGCAGAATTTAGAATTTTTGTTCTAATCGAATATTCAAAATGGCTGCCATGCCAAATAAGTTATGAATGGCTGTAATTACAAAAATATTCTTGTCAGATACCACAAGACTAAATGTACTTTTACTTTGCAGGTTTAATTTTGTAATTGAGATTCGATTAAAATTGCTGACTATTGCATAGTGTTGTCAACGGTTAATTGGTTAACGCGTTAACCGTCGGAAGGACCGAATATCGAATACCAATAACGCTAACCGGTTAACCGGACCTTTTTTCCACTCTAATAGATTTAACACGTAAATGTGTATTGAAATAATAAATAAATGTTTAAAATGTCATAATAGTCGTGTTAATTAACTTGACATATCAATTGTCCAGTATATTTATTACTATTGTTAATCGTGAAAACATTCCAATTTTACAAAATTAATTAACACAAAGACAACTTGTCTATCAGCTCGGAGCAAGATCTAAAGTAAACATAATTAGCGTACATGTATTTCAAACTGCTGTAAGCTAAGGTTACTTCATTATTTCACTTCGATATAGTATTGCGTAGACCAACATGTAACAATGCCACTTCCATTGTCTAAGGCTTTGTCAAACTTTAAACGAAATGCCGACTCAAAAATGGTCAAACGAAAATTATGTGAATGGAATTAATGTACCATATTGTTTGGTACGAGTAACACGCGTAATCATCTCAAATTGAAACACTCCACAGAATTTTCTGAGACACCAGAGAAAATGAAACGATCACCGGTTTCAAACTTTGTCAAATCGCCGAGATCGAGAAGATTTTCATCTTCTGAATCTGAAGTTATTACAAACGCCATAGTGGATCTGGTAGTATTGGATAATATTAGAAATGAAATTTCACTAGGGCTGCTCAAAGCAAAGCCTTATAATGCACAAGCATATATTTCAATTACTTTTATCATAAAACCTTGCATTTGCAGTGAGTACTGAAGACCTTTAAACATTAATTCAACTACCGGTTAACCGGTTAATCGGTCAAAAGATTGTTCGAGTAACCGGGTAGGCAAAACTGTTCAAAATTGACTAAATTAAAATTTACACTACTATTTAATGTATAATATTATGAGCTTCACAATGTTTTATTCCAGTTTCCCTAAATGATACATTTCCTTTTTACATTCAATTTTTTATCAATTACAGATAAGAACTCATTATTACTGGACAAGTGGACACAAAGTCAATGGCAAATGGTATTGGGGAAATAACCATGGACCAGTTCCAAAAAGCATACTGAAAATGAATGAAGAACTACCAGGCAGTCCTGAGTACGGGGATTGTTTTGCAAAATATCTCTATAGATCGGTTGTTTATAATAAAAAAAAATGTAATCTTAAATTCAACTATGTCTGCCAGAGAAATGTGCCAAAATAAATATGGGTAACTCTATAATATAGGAATACGCATTGGGTGTAAACTTATGCTATTAAAATATGCCTAGGTTGTCATTGTATGCTATTAGAATAGAATATACTTTTAAATGGAAGCAATAGATATTGTGTTGTTTCTTCATATTCCTAAAACAGATACAAATATTCAGAAAATAGTGTTAGATTGAACTTAAATGATTTATAAGTTATGAAAACCTTGTATTAAAAAACTATTGACACATAAATATGTCTCTTTTTAAATTTTGATAGATATATGCAAATGTTGAAATTAAAATAGCATATATAACTGATATTATAACAAACTTTAACATGTAAACTATGTAAAACATTTTAAATGGTTCTGAGAAGACGGTTAGGGCACCATTGGCAAAAAAAAATAAAATTATACGTCATTCTACGTCGGTATAAATGCATAGTTATACTGAAATAAAGTCATCAATTTGTCTTAATAGCGACATCCTGTGTTGTTATAACGATATCATTTATCATAATAAGGACATAACTATGTCGTATAAGGACACGTTGATAGCCTTTGGCTGTTTTCTGCTCTTAGTTCGGTGTTTTTCTCTTTGACACGATCCCCGTTTCCATTCTCTATTATAATGCCAATAGACTAAGACTGAGGGAGCAGGGCCAAATAGTTTCCATTGAAATGAGAATTGCCAATGCTCATATAACTGCATACCAATTATCATTGACTTAACATTTAGCATTCGTTTATCTTAAACTGATCTAATTAATAAATAATTCCTTCATGTCATGCTCTATATAAAAAAGAAGATGTGATATGATTGCCAATGAGACAACTCTTCACAAGAGACCATATGACACAAAAATTAACAACTATAGGTCACCGTACGCCTTCAACAATGAGCAAAGCCCATATCGCATAGTCAGCTATAAAAGGCCCCGAAATGACAAATGTAAAACAATTCAAACGAGAAAACTCTTAAACGGCCTAATTCATGTACAAAATAATAAACGAAAAACAAATCTGAAAAAGCCTTAACTCATCAGATGGATACAACTAGAAATACATCTAACAACAACACAAAGTGGACGTGGCCGGGTACTTGTACATCCAAACAACAAAAAGACACTAAATACAGATCTGAGAGTACTCGCAGTTACTGACAGCTAGTTCAAAGTCAATAACAACTAATAAAAAAATCATGTATCTAAGACTAAATTATCAATCAGTACACATCCAATGGATTTAGTATAAAGACGTCATAAACAGTCAGAGAAAAACATGACTTTGTGCAATGACAAGATACAGGTATCGACATATTGCAGAGCTATGAATGTGCATATGTATATAACAATAATATTTAGTTTGCTTTTAATTTACTGATAACAAAATCAATATTAATATCAATACAAACTTTATTCAAAGATCTAATTACAGTGTTAAATTGGTAACGTTTTGGAATAAGTTTTTTTAAAGGATCGACAAGTTTACCAGGATCGTTTCTAAATTTCCAGGCACCGTAAACAACATCTCCGTAAAAATGAGGATGTGCCAACTTCAAAACCAAATCTTTCTATCTATGGAAGAATTAAGTGAAGGTTTCAAGTAATTTGTGGTAACGAAATCCTTGACTTAATAATCTACCAGTAATACATAGATCACATTCATTAAAATCCAAAACGTCTCAACAGACACGAAATAGCGAACGAGTTGCAGTTGAAAACAAAACTTTACGACAAAAGAGATGATTTCTGCTTCCCAATTGTGAACTTTCCATTTCCATGTAGCAACATTCCAGCAGCGCCTGCATACGGAGTATATATCTCCAAACTGATACGATATTCCCGGGCTTGTATTTCCTACCATGATTTCCTTGATAGAGGATTGCTGCTCACAAGGAAGCTATAAAACCAAGAGTTCCAAATGGTAAAGTTGAAATCATCCCTTCGTAAATTTTACGGACGCCATCACGAGTTGGTTTACCGTTATGGAATAACCGTTTCACAGATGATATCTGATATGTTCTTTATGTCGTAACTACAATACCCTTCCCTTTTCACGAATGTGACCTACCGAATTAGACTATTTACCGGATTTGTAATAACATAAGCAACACGACGGGTGCCACATGTGGAGTAGGATCTGCTTACCCTTCCGAAGCACCTGAGATCACCCCTTGTTTTTGGCGGGGTTCATGTTTCCTAGTCTTTAGTTTTCTATGTTGTGTCATCTGTACTATTATTTGTCTGTTTGTCTTTTTATTTTTGGCCATGGCGTTGTCAGTTTGTTTTCGATCTATGAGTTTGACTGTCCATCTGGTATCTTTCGTCCCTCTTTTGTGATATATAAACACCATAAGATGGTGCTAAAGGAACATCACCATCCAAAAAAGGAAAATTAACAATAGGAAACGAAAAATCGTCCCTTTTGTCGTAAATTTTAGTATAGAGCTTTCCGTGTAAAACTAATATTTAAATCTAGGAAAGAACAGTTATTAAAGAAGAGGGGCGAAATATTACCAGAGGGATATTCAAACTCATAAATCGAAAAAAACTGACAACGCCATGGCTATAAAAGAAAAAGACAAACAGACAAACACTAGTACACAAAACACAACATAGAAAAATAAAGACTAAGCAAAACGAACCCCAACAAAAACTGGAGGTGATCTCAGGTGTTCCGGAAGGGATTTTAAAAACAGTATATTACTGTTCATATTTGATTTATTTAAAGTAAGTTCCTTCGGGTAAATTTCGGCAGTATATTTAGAAAATTCTTGATTATTTAACGAAAACCTATCTTCAAGATAACGGTAAGAGTTGTTGAATTTATCAAATAAATGCAATTTAGACGGCTCTTTACTAAGTTTGGTCATAAACTTTGATTCATAACAGTACAAGAACAAGTCTGCTATTAAAGGGACGCAATTAGTGCCCATAGGAATACCTATAACCTGTCGATAAACTTAATTGCCAAAACGTACATAAATATTATTAAGGAAAAAACTAACAGCTTCAATCATCTCATCACACCTCCAGTAAGTATATCTAGCATATTTACCTTTCTCATTAGAGAAAAAGGCTTTAAATGAGTTGCAGCAAATTTTTTTTGCATTCAGATTTACCAAACGACCATTTAATTAAATAGGAAAACTTTTGTTTGATAAGATTGTGTGGAAGTGTAGTGTAAAGAGTTGAAAAGTCGAAACTGTCATCAGAATCAAAAGGACCATCAGAAGACGTAATTTATCTAAAACATCCAAAGATTGGTTTATACTCCCAAAAAATTGTAAATTCCACTATTTTCATATATTTCATTACAAAAGGTAATGATGAGTTCTTTGATAGTAGTTAAGGAACTAGTTAAAAGCACCGAAAGATTAGTTGTAAAACACTTATAAGAGGCCGAGATGAAACGATATTTTACTAGTTTTTTTGTGTACTTTAGGTAACCAGTACATAGTAGGTAACTTCAAATCTTCAGGAGAGGCCTCAAGCTGTGATATGGTTAAGATATGTTTGTCTCTGTGGAGCGCACCGACTTGAGTGTAGATGAATTTAAAATTTCATGCTTAAGAACGTCCGTGTAGTATTTACGGCATACCACCACCACATTGTTGGCTGCTTTGTCGGCCGGTACAAACACAAACCGCTTTGAAAGTTCTTGAAGTTTGTTTGTTATTCTAGAAATAGGCGTATTATGTACTCTTTTATTTATTTTTGAATTATTTTCAAAATGTGATATTCGAATGCTCATTAAGTTCGTGAAAACATAGGTATTCACTGTACAGCAACCGAATTTGGAATCCAGAAAAAAAATCAACGGGGGAATATCTAGGAAGTTAAATGAATTAATAGGTGAAATCTGTTTTAGTTCTATACTGTTTTAGTGGAGTCTAATTTCCATTTCCTTCCTTGAGTTTTGCAGTGTTTTTTCCCTTTTTTTGGTTATTCATGATGTCAAAGAGTGGTGTCGTGTTAAAGGACTTAAATTTAATCAAATGCTATTTCTGACCGTTTTACTCTACATAAAAGATCTATTACAAACCCGCAGTAGTTTCACTTAAAAGAGGGACATGTATGTGTTCATGTATGGAATTCATTGGTGGCATCAATATTCTTTCAAGTAGATAAGTAGTCGTGCCAAGAAATTTCCTCCGTTGAAATTTTGAAAACATCCCATGGACCAAATTATCACGGATGATTTATATTGACCATTTGGTACATGGCAGGGTTCTAAGTGACACGTACATGCAGGTCATAAATTAATTTGTTGAATATTTAACTAATGGGTGTCGAAGCAGGTGCACCAAGGTTTTGATTGAACTGTTCATGGCATGACTAGTATGACGGGGTGTCAGATCTTTTATTTTGTAATTAATAATTATGATTATATTTTGGTTTTCTGCCAATCTAATTTTCAATAATTTTACATCTATATATTTTAAACTACATTTGCATTTGTACAATTAATTCATACCAATGCTCTTGTATTGCCCGATGCAAACAACTGTTTTGGTATGTGCTGTATACTGGTAAACATGTCGGGTTAACATGCACCACCAGTGTTACTTCCAGGCACAGTACAAATAGAAATACATCTAACAAAAACACAAAGTGAACGTGGCCGGATACTTGTACATCCAAACAACAAAAATACACTAAATACAGATTTGAGAGTACTCGCAGTTACTGACAGCTAGTTCAAAGTCAATAACAACTAATAAAAAAATCATGTATCTAAGACTAAATTATCAATCAGTACACATCCAATGGATTTAGTATAAAGACGTCATAAACAGTCAGAGAAAAACATGACTTTGTGCAATGCCAAGATACAGGTATCGACAGATTGCAGAGCCATGAATGTGCATATGTATATAACAATAATATTTAGTTTGCTTTTAATTTACTGATAGCAAAATCAATATTAATATCAATAAAAACCATATTCAAAGATCTAATTACAGTGTTAAATTGGTAACCTTTTAGAATAAGTTTATTTAAAGGATCGACAAGTTTACCAGGATCGATTCTAAATTTCCAGGCACGGTAAACAACATCTCCGTAAAAATGAGGATGTGATAACTTCAAAACCAAATCTTTATATCTATGGAAGAATTAAGTAAAGGTTTTAAGTAATTTGTGGTAACGAAATCCTTGACTTAATAATCTACCAGTAATACATAGATCACATTCATTAAAATCCAAAACGTCTCAACAGACACGGAAATAGCGAACGAGTTGTGATATA